AGGAACCAGAACCAAAGACAACCTTGGATGGCATGGTAACCTTGTTGCGTTCTTCGGCTGCGACCCACGAGTCCATCCTCCATGGTCTTGAGAAGAGTGAAGTTGAGGACTTGCGCAAGCAAGTCTTGAGCCATCCATTGCTGGCCGAATTTGAGATGGCAGCTAGGGAGTCTTCTGGTGTTGCAACTGACTGGAAATTTCCAGCTGAGGGCCAGGGCATAGATCCTTGCAAAAGCCTGGGTCTTTTTGTGCAATGGCTTGCTTCAAGGGATGATGTCAACTTGCCGCCCAACCATGAGCAGCCGCATCAACCATGTGAATCGGGTGAGGGAGGTGAGTCTGAAAAGGAGCAAGCCTTCGAGAACGATCCAGAGGTGCCGGTTGAGCCCAAGCCCAAGCAGCGCAAGCAAAACATTCAAGACTTTGCGGAGGCCGGCTACTTGGGAAACAAATGATGTGGATGATATTATAAAATATTATATATCTGTCTGTATTTATTGAATTACATATTGTATATTGATGACTGACTATGTAGTGATTGTCTGTCTGTACTGTTATGTTTCTGGTTGTTCAGTTCAGTTGATTGTATCCGTGTTTTGACACTCTGTTTATGTTGATCTGGCCGGCTGCATTGGAGGTGCAGTTGGAAAGGATTGCCAACCAAATTGGAGCCGGCCCCCTTGTGGACAACATGAGCAGCTTACCCAAGACTGTGATGGTTGGTTCTGCGTGTAGTGGAAGTGGTATGTTCGAGCTTGCCGCCAGAGCTGTGGTTGATGCAATGAACTCGACGTTGAGCGCAAAAGGGATTGGCATTGAATTCACAGTTCCTTGTTTGCAGTAGTTGCTACATCATCGTAAATGACATGTGATTTGTGGTATCTGGTTTCCACTCCAGGCTGCTAACAGCTTCTTGTGCGAAGTTGTTGCCAGCAAGCAGAAGTGGCTGCAACGCCACATCATCTTTGCAGAGGACACTTGCTGATAGTGGTTGAATGTCAGTCTAAGTAGTGGCTACATGCTGCTGCAGGAGAAAGATCACACTTGCCTGTATGCTGATATTTCAAAGCTTAGTGACAATGACTCGCGGTTCTGTATTGTTCACAGGGCAAACTGTGTAACTTTGCAGCAGGTGTCATTTCCACGCATGTCTTGTCTTTACGCTCTCTACCTTTGCACAAGTCTTAGGCATTGCCTCATCCAGTTGACCCAGCTGACAAATTATCTCTGTTTGGGTCAGGATTCAGTTGCAAGCGGCTTTGTTAGCAAGTATGCATTTCCATCATGTGCAGATTGCAGTGCGCAGTCACAATCTCCATGGTTCTTGCTCAAGTCTAGTCGTGAGGTCCTTTTCACGGATGAATTCGAATTTCCCAAACTTGAAGGAGGCGCTGTCTGCAGACAAGGAATCTTGGCTGTTGGCAAGGGGTCAGTGTACAAATTAGGAGATCAGCATATCGTTCTCAATGTGCTGTGTGCTGTGATGTTTAACTTTCTATTACTATTTATTCCGTAGCCTGGCCTGGCCTAGCCTATCAAGGACTGTAGTTCCAATTTGACTTGGAAGGGTGTGGTCCACATCTTATCTACATCTCGACCATCCGTGTTGTTGCTCGAGAACGTGGATAGTATTGATTCAGCGGGCGGTTGGGACAAGGATGATGACAAGGAGCACCTTTGTCTTGTTCAGGCAGTTCTCTTCAGTTTTAGTCTTTCAGTTTTGTTCAGCGCAGATTGCCGATGCTGCTGAGGTCAAAATCCAATCTGGATGTGGTGACTGCCCGATTGAGCCAGCTTGGATACTATTCCCATGCGGTGAAACTTCGTGCAACAGAGTTTGGTTTGCCACAACGGAGATGCAGATATTTCATCATAGGATTGAGAGATGTCTTTGCACAGGAACCCAAGAATCTTATGGATGGTATCCTTGGCCGTCTATCCAAGCTACACTGCAATCCGCCGGCTGTAGTCTGCCCCTTATTCACCATGCTATGAGTCCAGTCTAGTCTATGATTCGCAAATGCCAAAATGTTACTGCTTAGCTTTGGCCAACTTCACTCTGTCTGAGTCTGGGGACAAGTTCTTGCTACCCAATGACCATCGACTTGTTTTGGCAGAGCTTGACCGTAGAAACGGGATGATGGTAGAAAGGGAAAACCGTGAACGCGAGGGGAAGGTAAAAAAGGAAGCAGGAGGTGAGAAGTGGAAGGATATGCACACATCGCTTGCTGAACAGCGTGGCTTTGATAAAACTAGCTTGCAGTGCGCGATGTGTTTTTTTCCGGGATACCGGGATAACTAACTGCAACTGCAACTTGAAATAGTTCTGTTCACTGCCCTCACCGTTTGTATTTGTGGACTGTGGACCTGTGGACTTGCCGATCTAAGATGGAGTTCAGTGGCCCCTGCAACCCAGCGAAGAGCTCAGCAGCAGTCCATGGTTCCAGACGCTATCAACGAGAGAGAAAGAGGCCAGCTTTGATGTTTTTGTGTGACTGACTGTGTACTGTGTAGTGTACTGCCTGTGCGAATGGTACTTGATACTGAACCACCCTCCTTGGTGGGAGGTGCTTTGCTTCATCGAGCTGTTCAATGATCGATACAGGAACGCCGGTGAGGAAGAGAAACTCGTAGCATTTGCTGATGTGTCCCAAAGTGCATCGCGTGTACCGCAGAGCACTCACGCATCTCAGGCTACTTGTTCTTTGAGTGTTTGACTTTGATAGTGTCATGTCAAGCAGTCTTGGGTTTTGGGCCATAGGCTACAGGCTATAGGCTATAGGCCTAGGCCTAGGCGAATCAATGGTTCAGGTTGTTCCGACTATCATGCCAAATGCGCGACTGTGGAGCTTCAGCAACAGGCGTCTACTGCTGGGCGCCTTGGATGATAATGATACTGATACAGTATACTGTTTCACTGTGTGTGGGCGGGCTTTCATTCTTGTTGCCTTGTTGCCTCACTTCCCACCTTGTTGCTTGCAACTTTAGGTGTTGAGTGTCTGGCATTGCAGGGTTTGCAGCTGGGTGATCTTCAAGGAGGTGATTGTGTGGAACACACTGATGGCCAAATTGGAGATCTGGCTGGCAATGCGTGGCTTGCATAATTGTAAGTGATTTGCAAGCTGCAAGCTGCAAGCTGTGGTTCATGATTACATGATGTGTGATGTGTGTTTGAAATGCGACCTCAGCCTGATCCTCTGACACCCGGCCAAGGTTTCCATTGAATTGTGTCGTGTCTATCTTGACAGCAATCTTGGCGACGCTTCATATGGAAACTGAATCAGAGAATGAGGAATTGAACAACCTGCAAGCAACTGCAAAGCAGTTGGCAGCCAGTCGAGCTTGAACAGAATCAGAACATGTAATTGGCTAGAAGCCGCTCTCGACAAGATTCCATTTTTTGGTCCATGCAGCAATGCACTGTGCGTTGTTGTGGAGACAAGCCGGCACATTCCGGATCGCGAATCGCACAGATGAAAAAACGGGTTGCTGGATACACGCAAGCCTCTGTGGACACGCTCGAGCACGCACCAGTGAACACGTACCTAGAAAATCTAGAAAGGCGTACCTGCCCTGGCGACATGTACCCATGAATGCGTACCCGCTCTGGCGACATGTACCCATCAACACGTACACCAAGTCATGTACCCAGGGAGGCGTACCTGCACCCGCCCCCCTTTTCCAAGCAGGGTTTGTGACCACCATTGAGCATTGCTTTCCAAAATAGATAACTTAGGTCCAAAGGTTTTGGTCATGCCCCAGTTAGGGGGCCCAGTCTCTCGAGGACGGAGTTGGCTGCGCCAGCATGTTCTCTGCCAGCATCCCTTGTGGACATCCTGCAAGCTATTTGGCGAGACTCAGTCGCTCGCACTTGGGCAGCAAAAGCAGGACGAGCAGATCTTAGATAGTCAGTGCACTGCATGTTCAATCTAGCCAAAGATAGCCAGCCTGAGGCTACCTGAGTTCTCCTTTTGCTCTAGGAAAAATGTATTGGAAGCAGGAATTTGTGAGTTGCCTAGGGTTTGGTACTGTAAGGAAGGTTCTTCATCATACGGGGCCCCCCCCTGGATCAAATCCCCCCTGCTGCACCTCATCGGTATCCGATGCACCGCATCACGCCAAGCACCGGGTCACAGGAAGGTTGGATTTTTTTGGGGTGCCTTTGGGCCTTGCTTGCTACCTTTCGTTCAGCTCCTCCTCTCTCAAGCTCAATCTAACCAATGTGCTGCTCCAGGTGGCCGGCGCTTTGTTTGCATTCTGGAAACCTGCCATGACTGCGAAGATCACAAGCGGACGATTCTTGATGGTGCAGCGAAGATACAGTAGAAGGGTTAGTTTATATGTGACTTGATGTTGTTTTGTTTCTTTGTGTTGGTCTTTCATCATCGATACATTGTGCTCTGCGGGACAGGTTCGCATGCTTCCAGTTGGATAGGGTGACTCTACTTGTAGCTACTGTGTACAAACTCCATGTGCATGCACCTGGCAGTTCACAGAAACATGTCAAGAAATTCATTTGCCGCTTGCGCTTGCAGAGGACCAAACACAAGGTGGAAAAGTACCAAAGTTTGGCTGGACAGGAGTCTCGGTCATACTTGGAGTTATGGCAAATCCCATTGCCGGCGGCCGGTACCCATCGAACAAGGGTTTGAATTGAATTCACCACTTCGGCCCCTGTTCTTCGGGGAGCTGCTTGTAGGTTTCTGTAAGCTTGCAGGTTCAGGTCTAGCTAGGAATGGCCCAAATGATATTGGTACACTATATACATACTTGAGGAGGATGACTTTTGTAGTGAGGGATGAGCTTCCGTGCCCTATATGACGCATATAAGAAGGGTAAGAGCACGTGGAATAGCGGTATTGAACATTCAACATGAACGCTTTTTCCAATACCCATTCATGTGCTTTTCTGATTACTTGGGTGGGTGTATCGCTGACGGGGATGTCAGCTTATGCTTTCTTCTGTCCTTTTGATTGCTTGGAGCTGAGGTGAGCGAGTTGGTGGCCAAGGAGTTTTCATTCATGGCCGTGGAACAGCTGCCGCCTGCCCTTCGAAGTTCCGCGAGGTTTCCAACACAGGTGAAACTGTTGGGACGTCCAATTTTGTCAAATCCGAGTCGCTCCGCTCTTTTCTACTCATCATCCACAGGTTCTGCGAGTACTTCTACTACTAGTCGTATCTAGTCGGGCTCAGGGCGCGTTAAGTGATCCCAGGCATTTGAGCCATCACTACCGGTCAAAGCGGGTGCCGCGGCGACTGGGCGCTTTCGAAGCCTATGTGGTGGCACCAGATGGTCGGGTCCGAAGTCAGCTCGGGAAAGGGAAAGATCGCTGTCCTGCATGGTTGACATAAATTGTTGTACTGCATGGCCTTGTGCACCAATCAGTCAATGAGTCATGGCAGTCACTTTTACTGCATTCGGCAGTCCCAGACAGCTTGGAGTGCTGGCGCAGGCCCACACAATGACAAGTCATGCGTGCACCTTGGCAAATCACAGGCAGTTGAAAGACCATGAAGATTGGTGAGAAAAGTCCTTTAAAATCCTTACAGAGGACTGGTATGACTTAAAGAAGAATACAAATTGACTCACGACTTCACGACTAGCGACTCGTCCGAGACACCACCAGATGAATCGAGGATTTCCTTGGTTCACTCCAAGCTCACGACCTTGAATTGGCCGCACTTGGTGCAGCTCCAGAAGCGAATTGTGTCTGCTTTGCCAGGCCGGCAGTATCTAGAGAGGTGAGTAGATATGGTCCACACAGGGCACAAGATAGCAGAAGTGCAAGATCTAGAAATTAAATGAACTTGAGACTTAAGATGAAGCAGAAGAAACCATGTTTAGGCTGACTGCTCCAGCTGAGGTATTGTAGAGCGTATTTTGCAGATTCGCTCGATACTTGGCTGACCAAGCACGTACCTTCTACCCCCCCCATGTTGGAGGACATTTCAGGTATGCAAGGTGAAAAGCACGCTGCCGACAACCCCAAACGCACAGTTGGAGGTGGGCAAGCCCCTTCCAGATGATAATAAATCCAAGGTTACAAAGTTGTTGCCGTGCATTCCAGGCCTGCATCACTTTAAAACTGTCCTTTCGACTTTCCCTCAGCATCCAAGGAGGAACAACTGGAGTGTAGCAGAAAGCCAAGCGGTCATGAAGGAGGCAGAGTTGTGGGGCTTAGCCCGCTGGGATGCTTTGGATGGTCTTGCGGAGTCTTGGCATCAATTGACGATAAGAAGTTTGTTCCTTCCCTCTACTCCCCAAAGACACGCAATTTCTGCTAAAAGCGACAGACCAACTTCTTCAACAGGAGGTGCCTAAATCGGGAAGGTCTTTGAGGGCGCTTCGGGCTTCGAACCTCCCTGCAAATCTTGTTCAAACGCGTGGCACGAGTTAAATGCAAATAAAGCTCCTGGGCAGAAAGTTTCCCATTTCTTGTTATGCTGGTCGACAACCAAAAAAAGAAAGAAATCAAGCGTAGGCACATCACTTGGAGGAGACGAGCATAGGGACGGAGGATACAGTACCACATATAGAGGCCTTACAACGTTGGCAGAGAGGGGGCAGAGGGGGGCAGTTCTCCCTTGGCTGTAGGGCGATGGAATGCGATGGAGTTTGGTGCCATGCCGATCAGTAATATTTTGGTCAGTCAGAATTTGATTGCTTCATATTGCTTCCTAGGACCAAGTCTCTTCTGCGAATCGTGTGCTAGAATCTGGGCAGAATCTTGGCACAAGTCTGGGTCTAGAAATGAGGAGAAGAAGAAGGCAAAAGAAGCAGACGAAGAAGACGAAAGAAGAAGAAGAAGAAGAGGCGGAGGAGGAGGAGGAATAGCAAGAGAGATGTGGGAGACCATAGAGTCTATCATAGAGACTGACTGAGATGGCCTTCAATGCAAGAGTTTTTTCAACATCGAATAGAAAGAATGAAACTGCAAAAATGTGTTGCCGACTCTGTGCCTCAAGAAGAATGAATAACCTAAGAGCGAAGGCCTCTAACCTAATAGCCATGGCCTCCAACCTACTAGTGATGGCCTGCTACCTACTAGCGATGGCAGCGATGGGCCTCCAACCTGAGCGATGGCCTCCAACCTAAAGGTGAAAGAATGACAAGGCAATAATGTGTTGTCAACTCTTTGCAAGAAGGATGAGCGATGGCCCCCAACGTACTAGCGACGGCCTCCAACCTAAGAGCGACGGCCTCCAACCTAAGAGCGATGGCCTCCAAGTTAAGAGCGATGCTCTCCAACCTGAAGGCGAAAGAATGACAAGGCAATAATGTTCTGTCAACTCTTTGTCTCAAGTGAGGACGTTTATTGCCGTTTGTCCGATGCGCAAGCATTCAATAGCCAGGCAAGCAGCACAGCGCCAGGACAAAGAGGCCCTACGAGAGGCCCGTGCTCTGGTTTGTGCACATGAGTCCGCTTTCACTAGCAATAAATCGTGAGGGAGCGTAGGAGCGAGTGACGCTCATAAGCGGCTAAGAACACCACGGCTCCGCCCAATTCGGAAAACAATACAACTAGGAACTATATATTGTTTCTACTAGCTTCTTGTTCCCAGTTAGTCCCAGGTCCCCTCTAAAGGATCCGCGTGTTTGGTGGGAGAAATACAAGTGAACAGGCCATTCACGAGTGCCACGAGTTGCAGCTGGCTGATGATCTCATAGGAGGCCGGTGAACATGAATCACAGGTTGACTTAGTACGCGTCGTGCAAAAAATTGTTGTTTTGCTTTTTGTTTGTTTAGGGCAGTGGGTTCACTGTCCAAAAATACACAGGCTGGATGGACGATCTCAAGAAGAAGAACATGGCATTGTTCAGCATTAAGCCGCTTTGACCATCTCAGTAGTAAGCAGTTTCAAACTCTATCCACAGTGAGTGCTGCTGGGTATTGAGCAGGGAATCCCAGTGGACTATGCTGCCAAGCTCTCTAGTAGAGCCATGATCAAGGCGCACGGAGATTCTTTGATCAGCTGACTGAGGAGCCAAGCCAAACGCTTCCAACGCAATGCTTTCTTTGCCGCTGCCTCGCGTGTCTTGGTGGGCGCCCAAGAGCCGCCACTGCGGAAGGCAAAGCTCCAGGCAGCCATTGCCAAGGCCAAGCACACAGGGGAATTGAATTGTGGGATGATCAAACACTAGAAGCATACCCGACAAATAAATACTTGTTGACACAACTTAGCAGCTAACGAAAGCAATTGGGACACATTATGTATTTGAGCTTGTGTTATCTAATTCCTTCTTTCAGCCATCCTAAAAAGCGGCAATGATGGTCTTCAAAGAATACCAGAAAGATATAGAAAGATTCTAAAAGCCGGAATTATCTTTTGAAAGCCGGTTTAGCGTTGCGGTTTGTCGGCTTTGCTTCTCCAGTGTTGCGTGTTTGACTCTTGCTCTTCCGTTTCTTGTCATTTTGGCATTGTTTGCCACCAACAGCATGCGGCCGGCACTTAATTATAGCTATATATTGAAGGATGTCAGAGCGGCGGTTGATGTTGCACAAGGCGTTCCAAAGCGAAGCTTGTTTAATCTCGTGAGCTCACAGGCAGAAAAGGCTGAACTGCCAGAGGAAGACATTGCTGCAGCAGCTGGGCTGCTGTCTAGCCACTGGGCAGAAGTTAATTTGTTTTTCCAAAAAGGTGCATCAACTTGTGATTGATTTGTCTCAAAAGGCTCGAGATTGACGACAGAGTCTCGCCTGAGGCGTAGAGGATGCCATTTCAAGGGTGACCACAGCTTTAGAGAGTCGGAACCTCTTGAAGATGGCATGCAGCCTGGATGAGACTTGGTTCAACATGATTCAACTAATTTCTTAACAACACAGCTAGACGTTGTTTTCCTCCTCCGGGCCACTGAGGATGCAGAAGAGCTTGATATCCAGGACTTGTGGGACCCCCCCAAACGACTTGAAGAGACTTGTCGATGTTTGGGGTGCTTGTGTTTCTTCATCTTCAGCAAGCGAGAGCAAGGGCACCGAAGCCGAGACTGTCTCCGTGACTCTCTCAAAACCCCGCAACTCCAGGAGGATGTTTTGAACGAAGCCCAAGGTTTGCTCAGCGCTTTGGCGCAGCAAAGCAGCCGTGCTGCAGAGCAGCGGGACCTGGCCAGGGCCCAAAATCATCAAGAACCGGAAGCCGTCCAATTGACAGGTCTTGTTTCACAATGAATCGCTTAGGCTTCACTTGACACTCCCAGAAGCCACAACACACGTGATTGGCGGGGTCTCATCCAAGGTCGAGTTGCAAGCAATCTTAGGCAGGTCCCAACCTTTTGTCTCAGCTGAGCTGCAACTGAGGGAAGGGTACGGCTGACCTCTTTGCTGTGGTCAGGAGCATGGCAGATAGATGATGATGGTGATGATGCTTCATCCGGCCGAACTGCCTCAGGCAATGCTGGGACATGCGCCAATAAGCCAGTCTTGTTGTTGACGTTGCTGGCAGGTCCTGAATATCAGGCAATACTGAAAGCTGAAAAGGTGTTCACCTCAATACAGGGGCAAACTTGGACAGACCACACATGCACAGTCAGACAGTCAGATCTTGCAGCTGATATCATCATGCTCAGCTCTTTGGCCGTTAGACTTCTGACTGATGTGACATCCCATAGGTTCTTGATTGGCTCAGGTTCGCGATAGCTTGAAAAAACAAGTGGAGGAGGCTGAGAGGCGCTTTGAGGTGCCTGAGTCCTTTGCAGACCAATGATGCACGAGAGTCATAGTGAGCACGCATTTCTTGCAGGGGCAGCGGTGGGATGCGCTGCAGAAGGCAGTTGAGAGGCTCTGAGTGTTTATCTCCACTTGTGTGGGTGCCGACCGACCAGACGGTATGAAGCACTGACTTCTTTAGCCTCGATTGCTTCAGTCCTGACCAGGCTGCAAGATGCCAATATCCAGGACTGTCATTTGTTGTTTGTCATGGTGTTCCACAATATTCGGGACCATGTCCAGTGACTGAATGCCAGCACAAGATGTTCTTTGCACTTGCTCCGTGTGACCGGCTTCTTGTACAGTCCTCTACAAAGCGGTACAAGTCAAAAGGAGGATCTATGGGAGCGGTGGACATCTGCACTCAAGCGTGAGAAGCAATGGAGTGTTCCTCGTCCAGTTCAAAGATGCTGTGGGTTCACTAGGGTGGGTGGAATACACACTACCGCAGAAGGTGTTGCGTGTTGCGAGTTTTTGATGACGTGTTGATGTAATTGATATTCACTCTTTGGCAGTGATGGCACGAAATGCAAAGAGCAGAGGTCCTACATGCTGTGAGCGGTGCAGCAGTGCAGCTTAAACGGCAGCTCTACACACGGCGCCTGGAGAGGGCTTCGCAGCTTGTGCTTGGTTTGCATTTTCCCGTTCTGCAGTACATGTTTGCAGAATGTAATTTTGCAATTATGTGTTGTCCAGTTTGTCTTTGTTTGACTGTCAAGATCCACCATAATAATTTCCAGGAGGCAGTGCTACAAGCTGAGCAGGTTTCTCTGACCCAGCCCTGAGCTCAGAATATGAATAAGACGTACTTGAGACATTTTGAGACTTCTTTTGTCACTTCTGTCGCATGTGAAGGGGGCTCGGGGCAGTTTGACAAAGAGGGCGGTACTAAGAAGTAGAGTGAGCTTGAATAGTTAGGATGCTTATGGCAACCTGCGGTACGTAGTGATGACTACTTGCAGTCCAAGCTATACAGAGAATCTCTTGCTGGACGAGGCTGGAAGAGGCTGCAGATGCTGCAGAAACTCGCCAGGCGGTGTGGGAACAGTCGCAGAAAGGGTGCTGAGGTTTTGTGTAGTTGTAGGTGTGTCTACTTGCAAGAAGACCGAAGAGAGTTTCCCCATGGCCTCCAAGTGGGCCAACCACACCTCAACAGCAAGCTTGACTGACACCGTGATACGAATGAGATTCAGTTGGTTGAATCATTTTTTGCACTCACTTCACTGCATGTTGGAAGATAGCGCCACTGCAACTCACTATCCCGCGGAAGGTCAATGGGAACTTGGTGGCCAAGGCTCGTGCTGAGGCTGCTGCAGTACGGCAGCGCTGGAAGGACGCCCAGGACGGAGGGTTCAAACCACTTGCCCTCGAAGCTCATTAAATTGAGAGTCCTTCGTGCAACTTGTCCGGGGCATGGCCGATCATGACTGATTTGATGTTTCGGCAAACTTGCAGGATGCCATGGACAAGAAGCTTGTGGATAGAGCAGACGTGATGGTGTGGAAGATCCAGAAGAGTCGTGTATGCCACTTGCTTGCTTTCTCGGATGGATGTTACCTTCCATTCACAAGTTGAGCTCACTGCGTTCTAACTGTACTAACGTTGCAGCGAAGGTTTGGATGAGGTGGTGCGCAGACAGGGGGGCTTTGTGGGACCCCCTTGACATTTGCATTTGCGGAGTTAGCTTCGGTCAGGAAGTTGAAAGACTTTCAATTATCCCTCGCAGGACCTCATAGATGCTATCCAGGATGCTGAGGGTTCCAAAGACTGGCAAGCCATGCGCGATGCAATTTCCGGCTGGTCGCTTGACTGCAGCCCATGGCAAAGCAGAAAGACCAATCTAAAGAGGACATACTCCGGACTCGGATGACACCACCACGGTCAAGTCCCCAGGTGCAACAGTAGGTGGACAGGCGGGACACAACTCCAACACTGCACTTGGGAAGGAACCCGGGTCAGTGCTCCGCAGTCTGGAGAGGAACCAGGCTCGGAGGTGAGCCAGGGTGTGGCAGCCATCACCACAGCAACACACGGGTAAAGCTGAGGAAAGAAGAGCGCCCTGGATGTGAACATGAGGCCAAATGTGTGTTCAGAGTTTGGTGGTTGCCACATGGCGCCAGATGATGTGCAAATCTGAAGGGCGTGATTGAAAACGCTGCAGCTGTACCACAGCAATGCTCTATGAGTCTATGACTCTATGCACTGCTTACCGTTCATGCCATTAATATGTCAGAAATGCTCTGTGTCAGCCAGGCGTGTTCAGCCGAGCACTCCGCCACACAACTCTTTCGCGGCGCCGAGCAGCGTGCCAACGAACTCCAGCTGAGGGAGCTGCGGCAGGCCTGGAGTACAATATTTGTTGTCCTTTCCCCAGATAGCTGCAGGCTATAGGGGTTCCAACCTCTCAATGGTGTAGCTCTGGATCGGCGTTTTGGTTTTGCCGGTGCTCCTGCCGTGCAGGTGCAGGTGCTGGCTCTGGATCGGCGTTTTGGTTCTGCATGGGCATGTGCTGCTGCCATGCTAGTGCAGGTGCTGGCTTTGGATCGGCACTATGGTTTTGTGGGTGCTGCTGCCGTGCTGATGCTGGTGCAGGTGCAGGTGCTGGCTGTAGATCGGCGTTTTGGTTTTGCGGGCGCTGCAGGTGCAGGTGCTGCGTGCTGCCTGTGGATCGGCGTTTTGGTTTTGTAGGGGCTGCGTCACGCGAGGGATGACGACATGTCATGCCAGGGGCAACATTATGTCATGCCAAGGGTTGGTGTTTTTTTACGCCCCCCTTCCCTACTTAAGGCTTGGGGGGCCCTGCGAAGGTTTCAGGCCCAGAGAGAGAGAGAGAGAGAGAACGCCCTTCGAGTTAGAACTTACGTTTTTCATGTCTAGCGAGCCTTGTGCCACCGGCGTTGCAGTTGCACATGGTTCTGCCGCAGGAGGTCAATGACATTCTCAACAGCTGCTTGGGCTCAAGGAGTGTTTCCCATTGTTTGCGAGCCATCCGGCAGGCTAGGCGAAAGCTTTTTGAAGTTTTTTTGCGCGAACGAATTGAGAATTTAGGGTGTGCGTGTGTGTTTGAGGGGGGCCGCGCTGCGCCAAAGCAGGCGTTCATAGTTTGCGAGGTCTAGAGGGGGTTGTGAACAATATACAATAACAAATACGTTTTTAAGTGTACAATAGTTATAATATATAGTATATGTATATTACATCTGTTTGCGTGTAAAAACACGTAGGTACTTGGATCTCTGGGACTGCCTCAAGACATTGATTTGTTTGGGAGGAGTGGGTGGTGCCATACTATGCCACTATGCCATATTTACAATATGTGTTTGATGTTTTTTTGTAGCGAGGGAAGCTTTTGCGACATAAGCGTAGGTTCATATATATCTATTATAGATATTATAGGTGTGCAAATGTTCACTTGTTTCGTACTCATAACATGGATCCACCGGAGTGGCTCAAGACATTGCACATATCGGACAGAACGGTTGAATACTAATATTTTTGATTATTTTTGTGGAGGGGATGGTGCCATACACAAATAACTATGTCTTCGCATCAAGTGCAGCCTGCATTCTGATCTTTTGCAAACTAAGCCATGAGGATCAGTTGGAAGACGAATTTGCACCAATGAAAGTCTCCATTGCAAGAACGAACCGAACCTCAGGAACCTAGCAGCCACGTGGCTGACTCCCGCTCTGAACCATTGACCGCGCAATTGAATCAAATGCATATGCAACATGCAGGGACAACGGGGGGGTTGCCCAAGAGCAAACCTTCCCGACGACGCAACATACGCAACATGGTTTTCGGGGGGTGGGAGGGGGGGCTGGGGACAGTTTCGTTCGTGTTGCTACTCGCGTAAATCGACATTCGCGTTGCGATTTCGGCTTCGTGACTCGACACTTGCGTTACACTTTCGGCTTAGAGGGCATGGCAGACTCCATGTTTGAGGTTTGTTTGTGTGTGTCGTTAGTTCTTTTGTTGCGTTTGTCCGGTTTGAAGTGCCCTTCCCCAATCAGCATCTGAGGGATTTTTGTGCAGCTGTCCCCGCATTTTGGATGGATGTTTGCTCCCGAAAGGCCGAAACCGGAAGAGACTGGACAGCAGACCTCGTCTTATTTGAGTACAAATGAACCAGAATGACTGGTGGACTTTAATCAGGGTGGCAAGAGCATAAGGGACAACCGTGCAGCTGCGAGTGTGACGAGTGGCCTAATTTGTGTTTTCTTGAGAACTTGGAGGGAGAGAGAGAGAGAGAGAGACAAAAAAACGAGAGAGAGCTCATTGATTTGTGCTATAAAGATATGCCTTCACCTATGAACGTGGAATAACAGAAACAGAGAAAGAGAAAGAGCCCAAGAGTGAGATAAATCAAGGCCCTACATTAAACCCGCTTGAGAAGTGTCATACTTAGTCATACTTGTTAATTGAGGCACATTTTGTGGCAGGCCATGGCCACTGTTGGAACACCAGGCCATTCGTGAAAAATTTGGAAAGTGGATTCGCAAACCATTCACAAGCATTACGGCTTTGGTCGATGCCAGTTTTTCTTTAAAACGGCAAGTGTGGTCTTAGTGCGAGTTGTTCTGTTTCACGGCTGTTGTTTGTGGTATTGTAATCGAACCATCCTGTGGCAATATGCTATCAACGTGATACATTCCACTCTTGACATGTTTGCTCCCAGGGCCGTGCAACGTGAAGGCACATATAATATATTCATAGATCAGAGTCCTTCCAGCATCCTTGTATGCACAGCCAGATTCCAAACGGTGTGTGTGCTGTTCACGGCTTGTGAGTTAGTTGTGTCTGATCCGCGTTGGCACCATTTTGGCTCGAGTAGGGCGAGGCCCCTGTAGTGCTTAGGGTTACGCAGTTGATTCTCGACCGCGAACTTGATTGAGGTGGCTGTTTATAAGGAGTGTTTTTTTCTCAGTGACATTCACAGTGGATGCTTGCAAATGTTCCTTCAAGACTTCAAGAGCTTTTGTTTTCAACTTATGATCCCTTTCCGAGGTAAATTCAGTGCAATTGGGCCCACTTCGTGCTTGCACATGGCAAGCTGTAGGGTTTCTTGGTTTCAAGATTTGATCTCATTTGCCCCAAGAGATGAGAGGGAACTACAAAGGAAAGCACATTTGATCACGAAAGGTAGCATTACATAGCTACCTGAGTTCTATCGTGCTCAAGCAAGGGGGGGGTTGCGTCGTTGAAAGTCCTTGATTTTTGGATTTAAGTAGCGTAAGTAGTGATTCTATTCGTTGCCCCCCCTGCGGTTTTCAACTCCCACTGTGGGGCATCATGATCAGGTTTGTTTCATCTCCCTTCATGAGCACATGCGAGCACTCCACATATCAAATGAACTCGCTCACCCCCGCGTAGACTGTAGATCAACCCAAAGATGACTCAGGTACACTTAGGAGTTTGGAGACTTGGTTGTCCAAGAGCCGTTTCCCTCTTCCACGTGTCCTCCCGTCCTTTCGTTCACCCCTCCTCAAGTCATTGACCCTCGTCACCGATCGAGCTCAAAACTGGCTGTTGGTGGACCTGCGTAAGTAGGAATATGGAATGACCTCCAAAGGCGGCAAGTCGCTCTCAGGCTTGGGCATCGCTATCACTAGTAACAAAAAAGAAGTCGACCTCAGGCATGGTGGCTTTTGCTACTCACCGGAGTACGGTTGGTGGCAGCGCGTGTGGGAATGACCAGCGCAGCACTCACCAGCAGCACCTTCGAGGGCTTCATAAAGGGTGCTGACAAGGTCTTGGTGGATTTCTACGACAGGACCTGCGTCACATTCTCACAGACGCACATAGCACTTGTTGAACGCCGCAGCCAAAGCTTTTCTGATCTTTTTCAGGAATCTTGATGGATGGGCTGAGCAAAAGGGCGAGCTTGAGCGCGCACTCAGAGAGGCTCGCATTACTTTGGTCAGTAATGGTGAGATATTATGAGTTTTGTTTATGTAGATGTGATGTGTAATGTGTTGTGAGAGTAGTTTGCAGTGATTTCTGGGTGATCAGGTTCGGGATTTTGTGAGGTCCCCGGTCAACACTTAGACCATCTCTTAGCACTTTCGACCCACTAGACCACTGTTGAAGTCTATTGCGCTTCATCACAGTTCTCAGCATATGAACGTGTGCCAGCAGCGCCTCAAGATGAGGTAGTTGCTAGCTTCGGAAGGCGATCGTTTGTTCACTGTTATTTGATTCCTCGATGGTGTTAGAAAGCGATCTCTTGTTTAAAGAGTTGCTTTGGCTCCTCTTGCACCTGTGGAGGTCCGAGACTACGGTAGCAAGGTGGCCTTCGCGACAGTGGATGCCATAGCGGAAAAAGACTTGGCGCAAAGATATGTTCCAAGTGGCCACTATCCACAGCTCTTGTGGCGGCTTGACTTGACATGTGCCATGAGGCGACGTATAGCATCGTATAGTATATGGATGCATATGGTGTTCAGAGGTAGGCTGGATTGAGCCTGGTCATGCTCTCCCTTGTCGTTCGATGCCTCGGATTTTGCGGAAACTCTGCGGACGGCGCAAACGCCGCCCGAACGCTCAGGTTCACTCATGGGGAGCCGACGCAGTACCACCGCTCACTGCGCACGGCCAAGGCGATGACGGACTTTGTTTTAGCACTGGACCGAGATCCCATTTTGCAGGCAGGGCCTGCAGGAAGCTTCGCAAAACGCTGCAGAAGGAATAACCCCACTTGGCAAAACGGCTAAACTCCAGTGATGTAACACGATCGATTCTGAATCTGAGCAAGTGGGGACATCAGGGTTGATTCCCGAAGACCTCACCCGTATAGAATATAGAACAAGATGGAACCCACGAACCCGAATGGAACACGTTCGAAAAACTACATATGACCAAATGACACTCTTGTAGGACACTCTTGTGGGACACTCTTCTGGGACACTCTTGTAGGACACTCTTCTGGGACACTCTTGTAGGACACTCTTGTAGGACACTCTTGTGGGTCACTCTTGTAGGAAACTCTTGTGGGACACTCTTGTAGGACACTCTTGTGGGTCACTCTTGTAGGAAACTCCTGTGGGACACTCTTGTAGGAAACTCTTGTGGGACACTCTTGTAGGACACTCTTGTGGGACACTCTTGTGGGATACTCTTGTCGGACACTCTTAAGGGACACTCTTGTGGGACACTCTTACGGGACACACTTGTAGGACACTCTTGTGGGACACTCTTGTGAGACACTCTTGTGGGACACTCTTGTGGGACACTCTTGTAGGACACTCTTGTGGGACACTCATTGTGGGGCAATGTTGTGGGACACTCTTGTAGGACACTCTTGTCGGAGACTCTTGTGGGACACTCTTAAGGGACACTCTTAAGGGACACTCTTGTGGGACACTCTTGTGGGACACTCTTATAGGACACTCTTGTGGGACACTCTTGTAGGACACTCTTGTAGGACACTCTTGTGGGTCACTCTTGTAGGACACTCTTGTGGGACACTCTTGTAGGACACTCTTGTGGGACACTCTTGTGGGACACTCTTGTGGGACACACTTGTAGGACACTCTTGTGGGACACTCTTGTAGGACACTCTTGTAGGACACTCTTCTGGGACACTCTTCTGGGACACTCTTGAAGGACACTCTTGTAGGACACTCTTGTGGGTCACTCTTGTAGGAAACTCTTGTGGGACACTCTTGTAGGACACGCTTGTGGGACACTATAGGACACTCTTGTGGGACACTCTTGTGGGACACTCTTGTAGGACACTCTTATGGGACACACTTGTAGGACACTCTTGTGGGACACTCTTGTGGGACACTCTTGTGGGGCACTCTTGTAGGACACTCTTGTGGGACACTCTTGTGGGACACTCTTGTGGGACACTCTTATGGGACACTCTTGTGAGACACTCTTGTAGGACACTCTTGCGGGACACTCTTGTTGGACACTCTTAAGGGACACTCTTGTGAGACACTCTT